GGCCGGTTGCTACGTCCATCTTTTATACAGTCTATGATGTGAACATTGCCATATATATTGTAAATTATAAATATTGAAAATGCTCAGTTTATTGCATAAACTGAGCATTTTCTTTTCTTTTGATTGTCTGTTAAACACAATGAGCACTTTTAAGAGGTAAAATTACATTCTGGGAAAATTATATGAGCATTTTCATATTTTTTTAAATAATTTGTGCAACAAAAACAGTAAAAACAAACAAATTACTTGATAATAACACACATATTTAGGTGCAGTGAATAACATTAAAGCCTCTAAAAACTATAAAAGTCCTCAAGTGTTATGCTGAAATTTTCAAATCAGGTTGCTCTCTAGTGTTAGACATGCTCACATTACAAGATTTGAAAATAATATATATAATGATGCAGCACACACTGCAGGATGTTGTCATTGTGCCAGATGGAGCAGTCAGGGAGCAGAACACCACCTCATGAGATCTCAGGGGGAAGCAGACATAAACAAGACTGTGGTGAAGCAACTTTGCTGTAAAGTTATAATAGTCTGCAGTAAGAAGAAACCAAATGCAAAAGGATGAACAAGCCTAGATGAGAGAATGGTTGGGGAGATGTAGTCAACACGGTTTGTCTGTTCTGAAGGTGAGATGTTAACTAAATCCCTCACATTATCGAATGACCTGCTCCGAAGATCAGATCAGACCAAATTTGTCCTCCGACTGTTCTGAGAGGTGAAACAATCATAGAGGTGAATCCTCCTGAAACTCCTGTAGTGTGAGACTAAAGCTAACAGCTTTATCTTGTTTGTTTTATCTACACAAAACCTGAAGCGTAAAAATGGCATGCGGTGGTTTCCAGGAGTGTTCTGTGCCAGACAGCTTTTTGGCTGGTGCAGTAACCTCCAGGATTCTCTGCCAGTTTTACTGGCAAGAAACAGTCCGACAGAAAATCCCCCATAAAACTGCCACTTATTGTTTTCACACTGTACACACATAACATGCTGATTAGTGAGCTTCAGAGGTGGTGGTCGGCAGATTTTCATTTTCCGTTGAGAGCCTGTTGCGAGTCTTTATCCTAATAGTTTCTGGGTGTTCTTTTTTTTCTTCGCTCGCGTCACAGTTTTACTCACTGTGGGCATTTTTCACAGCAATTTAAAGTTCTGCACCTCCATGGAAAGATCAAAGCCATGGCTAGAAGTAGAGAGAACTCAAAAATGTCTTCTGTGCAGAATAGCAAAGTTTTATTGTCATAAATCACAAAATCTTTGATTCATTATCTTACAAAAACTGAATAAACTGGAATCAGCATGTGCAACATTTTTTTTGCCCACATGTGCTGCCAATGCTGAAAAAAATGATGACTCTGTTTTACTAGTTACATTTTTACCTCATTTCCTCATCGCCTATCTGCTTTGTGTAAACACAGGCGGCAGTTCAACCGAAAAGTCCCTGAATTTTTACTACATGACTGTTGGTCACAGTTGAGTCACTAACGGCTTCTCAATTGTGCAAAGGAACAGATTTAGTTTGTTTTTATAATAAATAGCTGGTGGAAACAGTTCATGTTTCATAACTATTCAAATTAAACATGCAAAATAAAGGGATTTTAATTACATTTTAAGCTCAGATTTATTTATTTATTTATTTGTTTTTAATGTTTTGGGGTTGTTTTTTTTTGGCCTTTTTGCCTCTTTTTGACAGGACCGTATAGAGAGAGACAGGAAAGTGGGAAGAAGAATGAGGGATTGACCTGCAGCAAACGGCCATGGACTGGATTCAAACCCACGCTGCTGTGTCTGGGACTTTAGCCCCAGGTAAATGGTAAATGGTCTGCACTTATATAGCTTTTCTACCTTTGTGGCACTCAAAGCGCTTTACAATGTTTCTCATTCACCCACACATTCATACACCAATGGCGACAGAGCTGCCATGCAAGGCGCTAATCTACCATTGGGAGCCATTTGGGGTTCAGTGTCTTGCCCAAGGACACTTCGGCATGTGGGGGGAACCGGGGATCGAACAGCCAACCTTGCCATCAGTGGACAGCTGCCCCTATGGGTCGCCAGCTCAACCAGTTGAGCTACAGCAGCGACCCTTAAGCTCATATCTGGCTAACTTTTCTCATCGAATGGTGGTTCACAGATGAGTAGTTCAAGGACCATCGGAAAGTTGCAAATCTCATGATTCGATTCTTAGCTCAGATAAATGATGGCATTTTGGCAACATTTCAAAGACACGTCATCCAGTTAGTTTTGGGGTTCATATGGTAAAATAGTAAATCATAATTTCTGACCTTTGTAAGCCAACCCCTCACTGTGGGCTTCCCAGCCGTCTCCACGGTAACCGGGCTGCTGGCCTGGACTTTGAGTATGTTCTGCAGAACCCTGATCCACTCCTCCAGGATGTTGGGTGAATCCGCGGTCAGATAGAAGGTCTTCTTCTCCGTAATCAACTGATTAGACGAAAAGGGGAGAAATATGGGAAAAATGCTAAGCCAGGCCTGGTGAGATAGCATCATCATGTCAGGAGAGATCAGAATCAGCTTTCCAAGAGCCAGGAAAACATTCCAGTCCAACGCTACACCTGATGTCATCTTAAGCTGCTTCTCTGGTATGCAGCAGTAAAGCTCTGCCGTGATGCAGCGCTATATCAAGCGCGCTGAATGTGTGAGTGAAGTCTTTTTACATTTTTTAGTTCTTGGTTTGATGCAACAGTAGATCTTCACCGGTGTTTTCTCACCAGTAGAAAGACAGATGCAGTGTTTCAAACGGACTCACTTGAAATGTCTGCGCTCCTTCTCCACGTACGATACAGCAGGATGAGTTCAGCTCAATCTGACCCTGAGGCTTCCTGATCACATCGCTCTGAAAAGACACACACACAAAAAAAAATCATAATTTCTCGTCAACATTTTAAAAGAATTCTATTAGAGAGAAACCTTAAACGAGTTCTTGGTTAGCCCGAGAAGGTGTAAAGATCATATTTGTGCCTTCTGCTGCAGCCGTCTTGCAACAGAAGCACACGCAATTTAGAAATATTCCTGCAATGTTTTCTGTGCAGACGCAAAACCTTAGAAGGAAGCAGATGGAGCGTGCTGCAATCGAGACACACTCACAGGAGATTTGTAGTAGAGGATCTCTCCATTCCTCAGGATGAACCAGCGGCGTTTCCAGGCTTTCACCTGACTGCCCATCTTCAGTAGGTATCCAGACTTCTCCAGCATCTCCTACAGACACAAACAGCACGGGAGTCATTTCAGCACATCTGACTGCTTGCACTGTCTTCTGAAGCACTTTCTCATGAATTTTCTTTGTATATTTATGCTGATTCAAACTACTGTGTCAGTGGCCATCTTGATTTGAAGTGACAACCAAAGGGTTTCACAAAGTAACCTGATGTTCTACTCACAGGCCCAGTGCTCTCGCAGGAGTAGGAGGAGGTCCGCTGGACTTTGTGTTCCGGTTCAGAGTAGTCGCTGTCCAGAGAGTAGGCATCAGGAGGGATGGCGTAATCGCTCTCTGAGCTGATGGAGGACATGGACACACCTGAGGCACAGAGGAGTAAAGGGAAAACAGGACAGGACACATAAACAAGATAAAGCAAGTAAAATGTTTGACAAACAAGAAGAAGTTGTGGTGAGAGGAATATAGCAAATACAACACATTCCTCGTGTGACTGTGCACCAGCAGATGGTTCAGGATGGAGGGCTCCTACATGGAAAATCCCCACTGGAATTCTCTTACACTGGTACAATGCTGCATTTCTCAATTTCCTATCATTCTAAGCAGCAGAGTGACGCATGTTGTCAACTTTTATGCTTGATTTCTGTGTTTCTGGTGAATTTTAAAGGAAAATAACCAAAAACAACCTCCAGAAAAAATCCAAACAATTTCAAAATCAGACAGTTTTCTACCAAGCTACATTAATGTGTGAAAGTGTTTGATATTTTTTCTTTCAGGGCAATTTTACTTAAATTTCAAAAAATGGTGCTAATGTCCTCATTAACAATGTAACTGCATGTTGGCTTATATTTACTGCATGAAAGTTTTTACAGTCGTGTCTACTTGAGCCTGACCAATACATCATAATTTTATCACAAATTTCTCACTGTTGCCATGTATGTTGTTGTAAAACTTCTTTTCTTTTTTGCAATGCATGGAAATTTAGTGTAGTGATTTCAAAATGGGCTGCAGGGTGGCGCAGTTGGTAGCACTGTTGCCTCGCAGCAAGAAGGTTGCCGGTTCGCGTCCTGGTGGGGGCACCGGAATCTTTCTGCGTGGAGTTTGCATGTTCTCCCCGTGCAGCGTGGGTTCTCTCCGGGTTCTCCGGAGTCCAAAAACGCGTTGAGGTTAATTGGTGATTCTAAATTGTCCGTAGGTGTGAATGTGAGTGTGCTTGGTTGTCTGTCTCTAAGTGTAGCCCTGTGATAGACTGGTGACCTGTCCAGGGTGTCCCCTGACTTCACCCTAAGTCAGCTGGGATAGACTCCAGCCCCCCACGACCCTAGTGAGGATTAAGCGGTGTATAGATAATGAATGGATGGATGGATGGATGATTTCAAAATGTTGTCACAACACAGTTCATCCAGCAGAGCAGCTCCAACCTAATTGTTTGAAAGACTCTCAGCGCTGTGTGCAGCACATGTAGCAGAGAACGTATTGTAGCTGAGCAAACAGTGGTGCAGAGTCAAGCGGTGTCTTCATGATGAGATGCTAACTTGTTTGTGAAAAGCATTGCTAGAAAGTTAATAAATAATGACAACATAATTTTATAAATATAAATCAAACACATATGTGCATATATACGTAAAGAAATTCAGCCGATATATTGATGGATATTGGAACTTTTTTACTCCCTAACAATCGGTATCTGCCCCATACATCCGGTATCGGTCAGACTCGACCGCCTGCACTGTGGTCTTTGGTCCTCACCTCTCTTGACAGCACGTGGACTTCCAGGGACGCTGCTCTTTCGGTCCGGACTCAGGATGGAGGTTCGCAAACTGGCCAGAGAGCTGCTGTCGTCCTCTGAGCCGGAGTCCTCGTCCGGCAGAGGCACACTGCTGATTTGAGTGGCTTTCTAAAACATACACAGATGAAAACACTTACTGTACAGCAAATGTCAAAACCTCAAGTAGAGCACATCGTCACTGAAAAGCTACACAACAGCTATCACTCACCCCTTTCAGTGTGGTATAGACCGGTACGTTGATGTTCTTATAGATCAGCTGGGTGAACGGACCTGCCGCGGGATACTGGGGTAAGCTGGACCCTGCAACATAAACATGCTCTTTAAAAACTATGATAGAGACAAAAACACAGCCCGGCACAAAGCACAGCATTTAAAGCTTAAGGTGGGACCGTGTAAACTTTTGTTAAACAGCAGCCACAGTGGCCACAAGGGGCAATTATGGAAGGATGACGTACGTTAAAAACATGGTGTAAGAGTAGACTGAAGAAAATCATAAACTCAGTGCACAAGGTCCACAGTATTAGTCACACAGCAATAGAGTCAAAGTTAGGCAACACTACAGTAACACAGTATAAGCTAAGGTTGGTCCTAAAACATCAATACACAAGTCAATACGAAAGCAGACAGAACAAAACAAAACACATATAAAATACCTCAAAAGCTTTAAAAGCACCCAGTTATTGACGTCTACATAAAAAATTCTCTTTAAGCTGAGACACTACAGGCACAAATATGACTTTTTTTCATGCACTGGTCGATTTTGGTAAATGGTAAATGCACTTACACAGCGCTTTTCTACCTGAGCGGCACTCAAAGCACTTTACAATGTGTTTCTCATTCACCCATTCACACACATTCATACACCAATGACGACAGAGCTGCCATGCAAGGTGCTGCCTGCCATTGGGAGCAACTTCGGGTTCAGTGTCTTGCCCAAGGACACTTAGACTGTAGAGGGACGGGGGATCAAACCGCCAACCTTATGATCAGAGGACAACCCCTGAGCCACAGCTGCCCGTCATGGTGTTTCTGTATGTTTTGCATGTCCTCTTTCAGTGTTATGTAAAGATCCTAAAGACATATTTAGGTGTTTATTTCACTACACTTCATACATATATTTAGAAACACGAGTTTTTTCCTCATACTCTGAGCCATAAATCTCTACTTCAGTAGCTCTTGAAAACTCCACATTTTCCAGTTTCATTTCTGTCTACATACTGAAGGCATCTACAGAGAGGTTTGCTCGTGTATTATTCAGTTTATATTTCATTTAATTCTTGAAATATAATCAAAAGTTTGTTTGTTTTTTGGCTGTTGACAGTATTTTGTGATTTATAGAGTAGGAAATCCAAAATCCCGTCAACAAAATGAAACCAGAATCTTTAAGCTGGCTTTATTCAATGTTTCTGTTTTGAAAACTGACTTAAATATACATTCGTTTGTACATATAATGCCTCATTTATACATTTTCTGAAAATTTGTGAAACTAAAAAATCATTGCCTTCTTTGTAAGCAACCAGCTGGGAAAGTTTGATAGTGATTTCTATTAGTTAAACATTTTAGCCTTATTCACCTGTAGTGTCTCAGCTTAAAACTCTTTTAGTTCCAGTTTCAATATGATGCAAAACAGATTTAAATAAGTGTTTAGGCCCCTTTTTATTCATTATTAGCATAGGGAAATGGCAGAAATTAGTTTTTAAATATAGGTCACACATAATGATGAATCTATGGATTTTTAAAAATCTGTCTGAACATTAGTAGTATGACAGTAGTATAGTATAATACCCTCATACCCTTTGTTCTAATACAGAGCAGAATAAGAGAAGAGAAATCCAATCTGACTTTACACACTTTTGTTTGCAGCTGAAATCCTCAAGTAACCAGTGATTAAAAGATGTAAAATAATTCTCAACGTGATATTTACTTTGATAGAGTTCACACTTGTCCAGCAACAGGCGCAACTTAAAGCTAAACATGGCAGGAAGCTGAACACACTGGGCAAGCTGTAATTTATTCTACAACAGTGATTTGGCAGTCAGCTGCATGTACATGGCACCCAGAAAACTCAACAGTCAAGATGCTGTCAAAACTCGCTGTCTGCGTCCTGACTAAAATGGATGCTGGGACAGAAGAGATAGCAGTAATTACAGCCAGACGAAGTCCTTTCATCACAGCTGATTAAAAAGCAGCCTCTCCCAGTGCTCCTCTTCTCCTCCCCCCCCCTTCTATTATCTGCAGCAGCTCTTTAAAAAGAATTGAGGGGAGGCCTGAAGAGGAGTCCACACCTGCACAGGTGTGCGGAGCCTCGGGCCAGAGGAAGTGACATCAAAACCAGCAGTGACAGATCCCAACAGACCGCACTCGCCCCCCGCAGCAGCTTAAGCATCAGCTTGAATGACAAGTCTCTTCACAGCACTGACTCATTTCCCAAACCGCAACCAACACCACCCAGGCTCCGACACACACACAGCGTTATCATACAAAAAAAAATAAAAAGGTTTCCGCTGGCTGCCTCCCTACAGACATTATAACTGTAACACGTTGCTGGAATATGAACTTTAAAGCCTTTCTTTCTGTCGGGGACTCACCTCGTCCGGGGCCTCTGGCTCCAGGACAGGCCTCCGATACTCTCATTCCTGATTTAGCCACAGCGTAGATCCGACTCTCCTGCAGAGAGCAACACAATCACAAACTTTACCAAACTTAAACATGACCAGCACCTTTAAAGAGTCAAACATCTTGACAATAGGATCTTTGCTTAACCCTCTGAGACCCAAAATCCATGAGTCTGTTTAAAATGTAAATGATCTGTGAAAACATGTTTAAAAAATTACACATTTTATCAAGTCAGTAACTGGAAAAACAGAGAATCGATGGATTTTCAACTTTTAATCAGTCTTTGGACTAATTATGTGTGACGTCCTGTTCCACTGGAAAATGAAACCTATTCCTATTTTAATT